ATCATGCTGCTGTATTTACAGTTCTTATAGGCAAATATTACAGTAAATGTACTTTTACATAAGGGGAGAATACAAGCAATAAAAACATTAAAAATCTATATGACTGCATGTTCAACCAGTCACACAAATGTTAAAGATTCCTGATCAGTTCTAATTCAGCTTTAACTTCATCGGCCCTGAGATCAGAGAGATCACATTAGCTACTTTATATTCACAGTGGAACTTTTAATATAAAGAGAATTCCACAAGAAATTAATTGTGCATTCAAAGCAAATTCAGTCCCACCTGCAGAGACGAACAGGATGCAGACAGAGAGCAAAGTCCAGCAGAGAGACGCAGATGTCACAGCACACATTTCTGCTTATCTAGCCCAGTGTGTGTGTGTGTGTGTGTGTGTGTGTGTTGAACATTCATTAATTTTGAAGGTGTTTTCATAGCTGTCAGCTTTTTTTAATGTCTGTAGAGACCGACTATCATGAGAAAGATCGATGGATCTGTTTGTGTCCCGGTCACCCAGAGGTACAGTCCTTATGACAGCAGCGGCTATAAGATATGATAGCAGCTGCTGCCAAGGCTCCTCTACCTCAGTCGAGGAAGAGCATGCAGACTGAATGCAGTTCATGTCTCCTGTCTCCTCTTCTTCTCTATAAAACAGCTCAGTAGTGTGAGTTACTGAAGCACAATGAATAAATGACAACGTAAAAGATGTTGTGTTTTAGTCTGATGATCTTGAATTTTTAAAATACATTTTCACAGACAGACAAATGTGAACTTTGCCACAGTTGCTGTTCCACACGTATGTAGTGTAACAAAATGGCCCACCTTACTGTATATGGTGGTATACTGATCAACTAACAGGATTTCTAGACAATCTTGTTTTTGAAGCTGGAGAGCTGCAGAATTCAGCTGTGAGACGGAGTGTACATGGTGGGGGTGGCCTTAAAGCATCATGTGGAATTTACCTGTGGGCGACAGGGACACAGACAGAATAACAGATCCTTTAGATGAAAATAACTTTAAAAACACTCCCATTACTAACACAACACACACAAAAGAAAACCTGTCTTGCAGAAAAGGTACGAAAAACATTCTGTGCTTAGCAAAACACCAGAAACGAAGAGAATCTGCTTGTGACGAAGAACACATTATGCTTTCATTAAGACATAACAGACTTTATTTAATCCCACACTGTCTGCCCTCCTCCCGGTGGGACATGCCCAGAACACCTCGATTGGCTCCTTTAGGTGAGGAGGAGTAGTGACTTTCCTTGAGTATCTCCCCAATGTCCAAAGGCCTGACGTGTGTTAAACACGCGAATGAAAATGAGCTTACAATTTTTGTCTGCCTTAATAATATGACTGGGAAAAGGTGGAGTTGTTGGAGGTCTAATAATATTTCACATCAAGTATTTACAGTAGAAGTTGAAATATATGAATTTGAAAGTATATGAACACATCTGCTCTGGCAACATTTCAAATTTCTTTTTCAAATGAAATTGAATTGAATTTGGCATAATGTTGCAACATGTTCTCACTGCTGAGTGAACTCATCGTCCTATTTGTGTTTGACTGTCACATTTGGAAACAAAGTATAACAACCTGAATTTATTTGCTTAAATCTTTTATTTGAAGTTTAAATATGCAAATATATCCTTCTCAACTGCGGTAATGAACACTTCCATTGAAAGCACTGCAAATACCTAAAAACAAGTCAGTCTGCTCTCACAACAGGCACTGCCAGATATGTACAGGAGCATTACACACCTTTGGCATGTGTAACTGCTCTGACAGTGTTATCTATTATACAAATCACAGTTTGCAGGTGAAATGTGACACCCCACTCCAACTTTACCCAAGAAAGAGCCAAAACTATGCAATTGCAAACCCCATGCAGCCTTTTATTGACTTTGGCAGTGAGCTATGCCAAAATTACAAACAAAAGATCTCAAAAGCTCCATAATCTTCCATGCACAAAATAAAAGTCGAACAAAAGACACTTTGCTTACATAAATGTCTACTGCGACAAACAAGAGTAGACAAGAGAAAAAGTTTCACTCCTACGAGGCTGCTGCAGTGTTAAATACAGTGAAACAATATGAGTTGTGTAATTCACAAAACTACTTCCAACTGTTTACAAAGGTCTGGTCTAGCACTCACAACACCACACACATTGGCTTCTACTCAGGAACGTTTTGACCTTTTTCACACAGAAACACTCAAAGCTACCAGGAGAAACTCAGGCTGTTTGTTGGGTGGTGGAGGCCAGGAGGGAGGGGCGAGGCGGTTAAAAGCCTGTTCTCCAAGTAATTATCCAGTCCAACCACTCAGCAGGCACCTGTCTCCATCAAGACATGCTTCTCCCTCCCAGGTGTAAAGAGAGAAAGACCCAAATCACATCCTGTGGTGGGACGAGTCATGCATATAAAACCACACACATAGTTAATTCAATAGTGGACACAAATATTATGCTTTGGCAGAAACTTAAACAACTGAGTTAAATCAACACAACTTATTCATGTTCAATAAACCTGTGCATTTTGTGTTCATAAAACACACTTCATCTAAACATGTTTGAGTCAAGTTGAGCTTTTAAATTTTAATCCTTCACAATTTTGTCTTTGTATTTCAACAGTATTCAATAACTTTTAGCCCAATACTACTTGGTCACTTAAATACTACATGTTGTCTTCATTTTACATAATTTTCAACAAAGTCTAGACGCTGGTTAACATAAAAAAATTGAATGGATCTACAACAAAAACCATCCTATCTTAATCCTATAGGATAAAGTTGCAGGGGGAGGCTGGGACACGATAGGTAACAAGGTAGGGTGCACCCTGAACAGCTCATTAGTCCATCACATAGAGACAAACAACTATTTGCACTTACATTCACCAGCAATTTAGAATCACCAATTAACCTAACTCTAATAACTGCATGACTTTTAACTATGGGAGGACACCAGAATACTCAGAGAGAAATCACTGCAAACCAGCCAGATTGTGGAGTTGAAGCCAGGCTCTTCTTACTGTGAGGCAACAGCATTAACCACCATTCAAGACTTGATGCAGAGTTTTCAGTACATGTTTGTCCTTGACAGGTTAAACCACAATAAAAAGCAACTAGACAGCGAACTTTTCAGAAGAAATTTTAGTGTGCCTATGCTACTGCCAATGAGTGTAGTTTGCCATTCATACGACCACAGGGAACAAAACGCAGCAGAGCAGCTATTCTCCACCATGAACTACGGTAAAAGCCAAACACCGCTCGTGCCTCACAGATGACAGCTTACAGTCTTGTGTAAGGATGAAGTGACTTCGTACAGCCCCGATTTGCAGACGTGCGCAGAGGTTCAGGAGCAAAGTCCAAATGTACCACGACAGACTCGACGATTTTTGCATTAACACGCTTTTTAGCATTTCTTTATTGACCACTTTTCACACATGGTTGCTGTACCCACACAGCCGGCTGTAGCTTTTCAACTCACAGCCCGACACACACCAACACAACAGCCGAGAGAGCACAGACTTTAAGCCGGAGAGATACCGCTCAGGTGCGTATGCCTCCCCTGCAGCGGCACTGCAAACCACGCCCTGCCACAAACACCAAACACGTAAAATAAACATTTATCCAGAGATTTTGTAAATATTTATTTTTCATTTTTTAGCACCATAGTGCTTTTTTCCAAATATTTTTAAAATTAAGGTCAAGGCTCTGCTACTTCGCTGATTTCAACCATCGCGGGTTCTTTTAGTCAGCAGTTTATAACCCAGAGCAGGAAACCGGCCCGGGCATGTTGACTAGAGACCGGCCCACCAGGAAGTAAAGCCATAAAGCCTTTGAATGAAAACAAAAGCTGTTGCGACAGTGATGTACACTGTCCTGTTGGTATATGAATGATTTCTCTACATTTTACGTCAGATAAAAATGTTGGTCGTAAGAGTCAGATAATTATTTAATAAAAGCCAGATATTTTAAATGAGAATAAGAAAGAAAAGTATTTTTTGTGTCCCACTTTCCCTGTTAATGCCCTACCTGGCTGTTCCACATGTATGTAGCGTAACAAGATGGCCCACCTTACTGTGCATGCTTTATTTTTCATGCACATGTAGCTCCAGGCCCCACCTCTTATATTCCAATGTTTAGTGAAGGTTTTCTGATCGACTAACAGGATTTCTACACAATCTAGTTCTCACTCGTTTTGTTTCTACACTGTAAATACAGCCTGGTATATATTTCTTTCGGAGATGGTGGAACATGTTTGATGGTTACTGTCAGATGTGATGTGTTATTGAATGTGTTAAAAGTTAAAGAGATCCCAGTGATAATGCACAGATATATTTTTGAAGGTGGAGAGCTGCAGAATCCAGCTGCAAGATGGAGTGTATATGGTGGGAGTGGCCTTAAACCTTCATCTGATAACACCTGCTGTCATGTGGGCAAGAGGGACACAGACAGAACAACACATCCTTTAGATGACAATAACTTTAAAAACACCTCCATTACTAACAACACACACATACGGAAACCTTTCTTACAAAAACACCAGAAACAAAGAGAAGCTGTATGTGATGAAGAACAAATTTAAACTTCCCTTCATTAAGACATAACAGAATTTATTTAATCGCATAATGGGTCTGCCCTCTGCCCTCCTTCTAGTATGACAGGCCTTGAAAACCTCGACTGGCTCCTTTAGATCAGGAGGAGTAGTGGCTCTTCTCTGAGCATCTCCTAAATGTCCGAAGGCCTGATGTCAACACATGTGAATGAAAATAATCTTGTAAATTTGTGTGCCTTAATATTGTGTTTGGGACACTTACATAATGAACACTTTTGTTGAAAGCACTGTAGTCAGCGCACATGTGGAAATACACACTGCAAATACCTAAAAACAAGTTAGTCTGCTCTCTAAAATGACACTCCCACATGTTTATGTACCAGAGCATCATTTGCCCTTTGGGGTGTCATTTGAAGACTGACACGGAATACAGACTGAGAGAGCAGCTCATGAAAAAAAACACACCCGATGTCACGCTGACTAGTGTTTGATCTAGTCAGGTTTAATTCTGTCCTTCCTAGGCAAAAAAAAACCATTGTCGTTTTGAAATTTAGCACAGTTTTAAGGTGCATCAAGTTAGCTTTAGATGACGAGAAGTGGATCAAATGCCTCCTGGGCCATGGGCGTCTCTCTGTTGGATTTTACTCTCTGTCTGCCTCCTGTTTGCCTCTACAGGTGAGACTGATCTTGCTTTAAGTTCAACAGGATTCACAACACAACCCTAGGAGCATCAGTTTTCTGTCTGATGCTTCCTGCTACTCCTGTTTCATTCATACTGTTTTATTTAAATCATTTTCTAACTCCGTGACTCTGTAGAGATTGAGGCTACGTCCACACGTACTCGGGTATTTTTGAAAATGTAGATTTTTCTATGCGTTTGCACTTTTCCTCCTCTGTGAGATGTTCTCAAACATTGCCAGGTCTTTATCACTTGAGTTCTGTCTCGCTGGGGTCGCAGACTTAAGCAAAAAGTCTAATTGAGCTCTGGGTTGGTTTAGGTGGATTTGGAGGATTACAGATGCATCTGCTTTCCAAGGTAGGTGATGGTTGCATGGTGCATGTGGCGCACAGCCGACTGTAAGCAACAACATGTTGTTGTTTTTTTAAAACCAGGCCAAAAGAAGTTGCTCAGCACTCAGTAATACTTTTTATTTATTCCGAGATGCCATGCCCATATCATGTGCTAAGCTTAGCATCTGATCACGATGATGGGATGGTACCACCACCCGCATGACGTTCAATGTTCCACTAATCTGAGGACCACCACCTCGTGAGCAGGCCATCCTGCAGTAAAAAACGGGGAATGGTTGCGCTTTGCCCAGAAGCGAAAGTGGCGGCAAAACAGGAACTCAAAGACTTGCCATTTCTCTGAGTGCTTACCAAAGCTTCTTTACTCACATCTCCAATTCCAGCATTAATTTTACCACACTTCGTTCCATTTTCATACTGTCTCTCTCTTACAAAAGGCTTTTGCCCTGTAGCCGCAAACGTATCCGCGATACTAAAATCAGCAAATTTGCACTCTTGCGCCCATGTGATAGTTTGACAGCTTAGAGCTCCACATTATTGGTGGGATAAGTTTATCAGGATGGCTTCAAAATCTGCGACCACAAGTGTTTAGATTTCCATCGGATCTCAAGAGGAACAAACGAATAACTCAGACTTACAAATGGACTGCAAGTCAGAAAACTAGGGAATGTGACGACCTCCCTGACTAAGGCCCATAAACATCGTGTTCACATCATACACACATTTATATTTCTACTCTCCCTGGATGTTTTCCACTCTGTGCTGCTATTGTAAGTCTTCTTGGTCCTTGTGGGGCGATCGTGGCTCAAGAGTTGGGAGTTCGCCTTGTAATCGGAAGGTTGCTGGTTCGAGCCTCGGCTTGGGCAGTCTCGGTCGTTGTGTCCTTGGGCACTTCACCCGTTGCCTACTGGTGGTGGTCAGAGGGCCCGGTGGCACCAGTGTCTGGCAGCCTCGCCTCTGTCAGTGCGCCCCAGGGTGGCTGTGGCTACAATGTAGCTTGCCAGTAAAGTAATAGTAGTAGTAGTAAAGCGCTATACAAATACAGACTATTTACCAGACCATTTGTACTCAATGCATTTGGTTCAGACGTTAATAATATTAACTCATACATCCAGGTAAAGCTATTGATCCAAGATTGAGTAAGGAATAACACACACTAGATCTGTCTTATTTAGAATATGAAAATATGAAACGTATTTCAAGTTTTTGACAAATATACGCATCCATTGATCAGTGAAGTGTCCATATTTGCTATTACTAACACACAGTTATCGTATAGAGTTTGAGTCAGTCCAAACTTAAAGTAATTATTTTTGTGGTCAATTGCAAGAAAACTGTAACTTTTGTTAGAGCTACTTCCATTAGCTTTAATAGCTTTAATAAATTGGATTTCCATCCTGAAATGCGTGCCAAATAATTTACATTTCAATTCAAAAAGATGAAATTAGGTTTCTTTAGTTCAGCTCATCTATCTCTCTGTTTGCTCCTCACTGTGTACAAACACTTTTCTCCTTTTTCAGATGGGAAAATCATCAAAGCTGAGCCTGGACAGAACGTCACTCTGCCATGTCGAACTCCACATATCAGCGTTCCCATCAGATCTGTGGTGGAGTGGTTCAGACTTGACCTGCAGGAAGGACATGTCCTCATGTACCGGGATGAGCAGTTTATTTCAATGAACCAGCTTCCATCGTTTGTGAACCGGGTGGATCTGCAGGACAGACAGATGAAGGACGGAGACGTGTCTTTGATTCTGAAGGACGTGACGAGTGATGACACTGGAACATTTCAGTGTTACGTGGTCCAGAGAGGAACAAATGGCAGGAAAAGCACTGTTGATCATATCAGCACCATCTACCTGAGAGTTGTAGGGAGCAGCGATGGACATCCAACAATGAAATGTACACGTTTAACACAAATACAATTGAATTTTTTAGCGTTTTTCTCTTTTTTACTTAGAAGTATTGTTAAGGAGATTTAAAAACAAAGTTAATTTTCATTGTCTTCTTCATTATTACGTTGCTGTTAAAAGGTAATAATGCCAATGAAGTCCGTATAGTGCAGCCAGTCCCTTAAACACTGCTGCAATCCACTTTCACCAAAATAAGTTTTCTCCTAAGTTTTTTTTTCTTTTATCACTTTTGATCTTTGATTATTTGCTTGCTGAGGTTAATTCGTGATTAACAGCTTTGATTCTGCTGTTTGGAAACGTGTGCCCCAGTTTAGTTTATTTCCAGCAGTAATAAATTTGTTAAATGTTGGGTCTGTGTTTCCACATGCCCCGCTAGTTTAGAGACTTATTCCTCATGACGAACACAAGACATAGCAGAACATCTTCAAATGGTTTTTAACTCGCTAACGAGGGAGAGCTTTGGTCTGAACCAGGCGGTGGAGCATAATGCTCATCACTCTGTAGCCCAAATCCTTCAAAGAGCAGCTGTCCTCGTAGCCTTTTTATTGACATGACATTTACAGTACACATGACAACACAACACAAGCACCTCCCATCGTAAAACCCCCCCTTGGTTCTAAGACAAGGCACTATATGTGTGTGTGTGTGTGTGTGTGTGTGTGTGTGTGTGTGTGTGTGTGTGTGTGTGTGTGACAAATAACTTTGTTGTTTGCAAAACTTGTGCATAGGATTTTAAAATTGACAATTTATACTTGTATTTAAAGTTATGAAATGTGATTCATTAAACATGTTTGTGGTTGTTACAGTAAAAAATATAACTTTTTTCTACTCTGATTTTATGGTTTTTTTCTGATTTTAGATCTATTGTGTTAATACAATACATGTACAAATGAAAACAAGTCAAAGTAAATAGTTTTTAAAGGTAAAATGTGGAGGGACAATCAAAAGTAGTTAAAAATGGCCAATTATACCCTGGACCCCAGAGGGTTAAACATTTTTTTCAAAGTAACTCAATAGTTACTTTTCAAGTAATTAATTAATTTTAGAATATTGTAACTCAGTTACTAACTCAGTTACTTTTTGAAGAAGTAACTAGTAACTATAATTAATTACTTTTTCAAAGTAACTTGCCCAACACTGCCCACATCTAAAAACTCTCTCTCTCTCTCTCTCCCTAACTTGCTCGCTCTGTCTCCTGCCCTGCCTTCCCCCTCTTCCTAAACAACCATACCCTGGTGGTGACTTTTCTTTTTAATTGGTGGACATGAGACATTTTTTGACAGAACGGGAAAGAGGTGACTTTTTTTCTTTCTTTTAGTGTTTTCGCGCTGTCCTTAGAATACGCTTAAAAAACACACACACAAAAACAAAACAAAACGTGACAACAGTTTTTGGCATGGCATGGCATGGCTTATATAAATGATAACAACTGTGGATTTACTGGCTGGTAATTAAAATTTAAAATGCAATATATTCAGTTTTAGCATTTATATTCACTGCTGTCTGTAACTATGCTCAAAGTGTTAATGCTATCTTATTTTAACAAACAACAATGTCATATAGAAAACTGGGATGGCACTTGGGGTGGCAAAGGATCATTTTATTTTATGACCCTATGCCACCCTTCTAGATCCGCCCCTGAGTACATGGCATGATCAGAAGCTCCTGCACATAAAGAGTTAAAGTAGTAAAAACTCTGATTTTGTTAATACTGAGATATGTTTAAGAAGGAGTGTAAAGTCAAACCATGAGTCTGATTTACAGCAAGACTGTCTGATGCTTTCCGCTGCACCAAAGGGCAGTTCATTTAAGAGATAAGATAAGATAAGATAAGACTTTATTGATCCCACAACGGGGAAATTTTTGCGTCACCTCAGCTCAGGTACAGATATATGAAGGAAATACAAGAATACAACTAAGTACAATCAATGAAAAAAGTAAGATAATGCACTATATACAATGGTAGCATACACAGTATGTGATTATGGGTATAGTTGGAAATATGGAAGACATAAACCTTGGAAGGTCATGGAAGGTCCATTATGCATGAAGTGGTCCATTTGCATTTATTTATTCCATTAAACACTTCTGTGAAAATCAATTAGGTGTTTGTTAAAATAAAAATTAGAAACTTTTGAATCAGTTAGTTGTTTTCTCATAAATGTACTAAATAACCATACGCAAAGAACTTTGATATTTTGGTAACCTTATTATCAGAGATGGGCAGATTACAGTAACGCGTTACA